ATGACATATGCAGCCAGTTGGCAGTAGGAATGTCTACTGAACGAATAAAGTTAGCAAGCACTAGTAGTTAACTTATCTGCGATTGCCTGGAAAGTGCATGTTTAAAAGTGTATGGCTGTATCGCTATATAGACTTACCTATTTTAAACTAGCCCGTTTAAATAAAGTCATGGAAATGGGGTAAAATACAGAAAAGTTATGGAAAGGTTTTGTAAATTCATTGGTAAAAGTGTGTGGGAACCCTATAAAGAGCTCAGTGGCTAAAAAACTAATCTTGCAAAGTAGAAAACAAATAAGTCCGCACACCACACAGCTCCCGTTTAGAAGGATTTTAATGCAGAGTGATGTTTCGAGCCTATGACTCTCCTTCAGACTTCTGATAAATGACAGAAGTCGCCATCTTAAATACCCATAGTGCTGCCTGAGCCAGTCATGTGACATGCCACACCTGTTGTCCATATTCATAATAAAAATAAACAAAAAAAAATTGTGTAATATATGTGTACTCCAATATTGTACCAAAGCTACTTTTGATAAATATATAAGGGGAAAATACCAGCATGTACATATTTTATATCCCACATATATAAACAATTTTACAAAGTTAAAGTCATATATACATCTAAAAAACAAATATTGATAGGTCACATTTGCTGCTCAACAGTAGCAGAATGCATTACAGTGTGAGTATATATAAACACAGTCAGGCCACACATGGAAATAAAGGTACATGAAGAAATATATACAAAAGTACAACTCATGTACCCCCAGTAGTTAGTATAACCACAAGGACTGGGGCTGAATAGCCTCATAAAAATACCTCTGTCTGTTTATCTGACCTTAAAAAGAATTTTTAGTGGATACATAACACCACGTAACACCACGGTAGAAAAACATAAAAAGAATATATAGCAGCTCTACTGAGGAAGTGTGAGGGTGATGGAGGTGGAAGGTCCGCCCTCACCAGCATGTTACGTAGGTTAGGAGGTCTCTTATGAACCACATGTGGGGGGGGTTTGAAAAGCAGTTCTTAAGTACATGATCTGTTTCAACAATATGTCAGTGTTTTTAGATGGTATTTTCTGGGCCTCAGAGACAGGTTTATACTGTATAGCAGAAATCACTCTGCGTTCTGTTTCTTTGCTTTTAGTGGTCATAAGACATTAAGTTTGATCTGAGAAACATGATGAGGCCCTTTGAATCTAAGTCTCTTTGTAACCTCTTTGTTTAAAACAGTCTTCAAGCCTTTTTTGTTCGGGTGAAGAAGTCGTCAATCAAGCTTCAAATGGGGCTGATACGGTTGAACTGAGAAAAAAAACTGAGGGTTTTTTTTTTTTTTTTTTTTTAGATTTATTCACAACAGACAGTGAGCAAAGCCCATCATCATTTGAATTTTGAATTTTCTCCAACATGTCTATTAAGTTATGACTGAAATGATGTTGACAGGACGTTTCCTTTTAATGGTGATGCAGCACTATGTTGCTAACTAACATAATAACACAATAATAACTAACTCTGTGTGTGTGTGTGTGTGTGTGTGTGTGTGTAGGAGTGGCTGTGGCCAGTAGGCTACTTCCTGCGTGCTAAGCTCTACTTTGCTAAGAAGCTGGGAGAAGAAAGCTACGCAAAGGCGGTCACCCTGGTGAAAAATGTTCTCTCTCGACATTATACCCACCTGGAGAGGTCTGTCTGTTCATCCACCTACTCTGCTTTGTCTCACATGATACAGTCATAGCTAATGACATCAGCACTGTTGTCCAACATTTCCAAAATGTTCAAGTTTCTTTTTTAAAATTATACTGTTATTGGCCATTTTAATGACTGGTATTATTTCTCACCCCATGTTCTTTCTTTTCATCTCTTGTCAAATCTAAAAACTGATCATGTAAAAGTGTTTTCTGTTTCTAACTTAGGAATTAGTAAGAGCTCATGTAAAACATGCTAGTGTTCCTTTCGGAATATTATTGAAGCGCTTTACAATGTTTTAGTTTGTTACGTGCTGTACCATTCAGGAAGGACCATTAAGTGATGTGTAATAAATCATTTTGTTGTTGGTGTGTTGTCACCTTTGACCTGCCCTGTTTCTTCTCAGGTCTCCATGGAAAGGTCTGCCAGAGCTGACCAATGAGAATGGCCAGTACTGCCCATTCAGCTGTGAGACCCAGGCCTGGTCTCTGGCCACTGTGCTGGAGACCCTTTATGACCTGTAAAGCCCCGCTGATGTCATGCAGTCTGACCTCCTGAAGCAGGGGTTTGACTGAAGAGGAAGAAGAAGAAGATGGTCATGTTGAAACACAGACCTTACTTTGAGCAGAAACACACAGGAGCACCAATACTTCCCACACTGAGCTGTCGGTCCAAATGCACCAAACCACTTAGTCCACTGCTGGTGCTGTTTGAGTTTTCAGTGATACAGATTGGATGAAATCTGATTGGATTTTTTTTTAAATGCTAAGCTTCAATTTACATTAATTTATAATAAATACATGTCCAAATGTCAGGTGGGATTAACTGCACCACAGTTTTCCTTCCTGTGAGGCCCAGCATGTTCATCTGAACTGTGAAGCTCCTCTCATTGAAAATGAGCAGGAGCTCTGCAGCTCACTGCTCTGTGTGTGTTTGTACCCTTAGTTTGTAAATGACAAGCAGACTTCTGTCATTTACTGTGGGGTCTGTCACGGCAATCGTGTCCTTTGATAAAGTTTGTGGTGACAGCTCACAGAAACAACACATTTCATTTCACTTGGTTGTTTCTGGTGATTTTAAAGGAATATTTCACCTGCAAAATGACCATTTGTATTTCAATTACTCACCACGTTACCTGGCATTGGTGAAGAAAACTTTGATTTTCTTGCATGCCTCCACGGTGAACCGAGAATCCAAAAACGGCCAACATTTTTCATAAATTGAAGTAAATGGGGACATTTAATCACAAAACTATAGCAAAACATCTGTTTACAAACTCTCACACAACTTGCCAGTATAATTCAAGTCTTTTTTTATCCAGTCGTATGGTCAGTACTTCCCAAACACGTGTTTTCACTAACACCTTCCTATTTGAAACAAACATTCACCTATGAGTAGCACGCCCTAAGCTAGGCACGCTACTCGGCTGTGCCTGGGACTGTTTGTACTGACGTGTTTTAAATCCTAATGTGCAGGTGAAGTATTCCTTTAACCTCATTAACTGATAACTCATTTTAGTTGATGTAGAAACCTCATTTTTACCATATTTCCCCTGTGACATAGTACATGCTGCATACTTCCAAGTTGAGCCATTATTTAAAACAAGTAGCATTTCCTGAGCTGACATGGTGTCCTTGTTCTTCAGTGTTCACTGTCAGTGCAGTGGTTATACATTTTTAAAGCATTTATGTCAACAATACTGAACAATCTGCTAATCTTAAAGGGAGGGATTTCTTCCTAAAAAGACAACTTTTTTTTTTTTCAGAATGTAAATCTTTGTTTTCTGTATTCTGTCACCAAAAGTAAAAACTCCATCAATTCAGAATCATCTAGAAATCTTACTTTAAACTGCTTGTTAGAAGTAATTATAAACTTACATTTAATCAGATAAAAAAGTAGTCAGTTCATGAAGTGGAAATTGATAGATTTGCTGAAAACTTTCGGCATGGGATGGTTGGCATAGTCAACCTCTGCAAAAACAGTAAATATTCTGTAATATTTTGAATGGATGCTAGAAACCAGAGTCCAGGCCTTTGCTGTTGATATGTACCTTCTATCACTCATTAAACACTGAAGAACTTTGACCCCACAGCCAGTAGTCCAACAAAAAAGGGAAGAACACACTTTTTTGCTGCCTGAGCAGGTGCTTTTATTTAGCATGAATACATGAACAGCATTTTATACTGAACCCAGATACCATGTCACTGTGTGCATTCACACCCTCAGTCCTACCTCCAGCTTGTCACAGTCCAACCTATCCCGACATGTAACAATTCAGCTCACCATGAGGTGACCCATTACAGCCAAAATACTAGGGGCACAGACGCAGCGTGTCACATAGGCGGAGCAGTGTTTTGTTTTTTTTACCTGCTGCACTGACTGTCTCTGTAGTGTCAGCTTCACGGTGTGTGTATTGAGTTTGGCAAGTGATAATGCTGTTGATTATGAAGGGTTCAGAAGCATATAAGCTATATTAACTGGTACTGGATTCAGTAACGGGATCGTTGTAACAACAGGATGTATCAATTTATTTTAATGTAAAATGTAAAAACACACAGTGTTGCTCTGTTGCTTGGCATTGCTTCTGGTATAATGAGGTATTCATTTTTATCATTTTTAAACAGACAGTTGTCAGTAGTTTTTACCTGTTGGAGGGCTGCAGAGCCATGCAGAGAAAAATAAATAGACCAGCTGTGTAAAATTAATGTTGAGCAGTGCAGTGCCTGCCAAGCAAGTGCAGCTTCCGTGGTCAGTGTAGCAGCTTCAGTTGATTATAATGGACGTGCTCTGGTATGGACATGCTGCTACAGCCAAACTGTGACTGCGTTGTGTGTATTTTTAAAATTACAAGCTGTAGCACCAGTGATGTACCAGTTCTCCCAGTTGATTATAACTATAGTTTAAAGGCCCAGGCTCCCAATATAGACCCTCCACCTGATGCCTTTATACACATATAATGGTCTTCCAACTGTTCTCTGTGTCAAGACTTTACCCCCACCAGCCTTGTGATGTAGTTATACATCATTATATCATTCACATGTGTGTTAATGTTCAAACACAGGTTTTGTGCATGAAAACAGTTGTGTTCCTGTTGTGTGTCACCATGCTGTAGATCCCTGCTGCTGGCTTCCACTGTCTTCTGGCTGTACATGTAACACAACACATCAGTGTTTCACACTCACAAAGAAGGAATGTGCTGAGCAAAAACTCAACAGGAGATATACAGTATGAAGTAATTGGTCCTGTAACATGCTGTGAAAGCTCTGTATGTGGATGCTTATCAGTGTCACTGCTGTTCATTGTTGTATCTTTAACCCTTGTGTTTTAAAGTCCTCCTGAGTCCATCACAAGATATCATCTAATCTCCAGTCTAAATGGACTCACTACATTTGAAACCCTCACTCTGTGTGGTAGCTGTCAGTGTTTGGAAGAGTGCCACCTGATACACAATCATCCTATTTCAGTGTGTAAGATGTTCACACTTTCTCTGTACCTGTAAAGTCTACTAACATAAAACACTGAAGCTGAGCTACTGTTTCTTTGTTGAAGAGTAAAATTATTGGTCTAAAAACAAGGGATTATATTCATTAAGCTAATAAAACTAACCAAAATAAAGATCAGTTGTCTGTCCTTATTAACTCCACCAAAGAAAGTTTAGTTTTCAGTATGGTTTTCTTGTTGGTTTGTTCATCAGCAGGATTACAGAAAAACTACGGGACCCATTTTTTTTTAAAACTTGGTGAAAGGGTGTAGGGCTGTCAACGAATATTCTAAATTCGAATTTAAATTCGAATTTGAAAAAAAATGGACCTTTGTATGTGAAAATTGATATTCGATTGTGGAGAAGAAAAAAACACCACCGCAGCTGTCCTCTTTGCGAGTGGGCGTTGGCATCAGACGCGCATTTCTCCAGCCTGGTCGACAAGGGTTCTGCTCCCAGCTGTTGTCTCCGTCACCCGGCTTGACACATTCGCTCGCGGCTCGCGCAGAAAATAGACCAGACGCTGAAACGATCGCTGCAGGGCGCGAGCCGGTCACAGTCCGGTGCTTCGAGGCTATTCGCAGCGCTTCTGCGTGCGGTGTGGCCACGGGTCAGAGAGGGGGGGCGAGTGAGAGGTCCGCGGTCGTTTATAACGTAAAGTTATAGATAATTGTTTTATGTGTTTTAATGTGTAGGTATATACAGTACAGGCCAAAAGTTTGGACACACCTTCTCATTCAATGCGTTTTCTTTATTTTCATGACTATTTACATTGTAGATTCTCACTGAAGGCATCAAAACTATGAATGAACACATGTGGAGTTATGTACTTAACAAAAAAAGGTGAAATAACTGAAAACATGTTTTATATTCTAGTTTCTTCAAAATAGCCACCCTTTGCTCTGATTACTGCTTTGCACACTCTTGGCATTCTCTCCATGAGCTTCAAGAGGTAGTCACCTGAAATGGTTTCCACTTCACAGGTGTGCCTTATCAGGGTTAATTAGTGGAATTTCTTGCTTTATCAATGGGGTTGGGACCATCAGTTGTGTTGTGCAGAAGTCAGGTTAATACACAGCCGACAGCCCTATTGGACAACTGTTAAAATTCATATTATGGCAAGAACCAATCAGCTAACTAAAGAAAAACAAGTGGCCATCATTACTTTAAGAAATGAAGGTCAGTCAGTCCGGAAAATTGCAAAAACTTTAAATGTGTCCCCAAGTGGAGTCGCAAAAACCATCAAGCGCTACAACGAAACTGGCACACATGAGGACCGACCCAGGAAAGGAAGACCAAGAGTCACCTCTGCTTCTGAGGATAAGTTCATCCGAGTCACCAGCCTCAGAAATCGCAAGTTAACAGCAGCTCAGATCAGAGACCAGATGAATGCCACACAGAGTTCTAGCAGCAGACCCATCTCTAGAACAACTGTTAAGAGGAGACTGCGCCAATCAGGCCTTCATGGTCAAATAGCTGCTAGGAAACCACTGCTAAGGAGAGGCAACAAGCAGAAGAGATTTGTTTGGGCCAAGAAACACAAGGAATGGACATTAGACCAGTGGAAATCTGTGCTTTGGTCTGATGAGTCCAAATTTGAGATCTTTGGTTCCAACCGCCGTGTCTTTGTGAAACGCAGAAAAGGTGAACGGATGGATTCCACATGCCTGGTTCCCACTGTGAAGCATGGAGGAGGAGATGTGATGGTGTGGGGGTGTTTTGCTGGTGACACTGTTGGGGATTTATTCAAAATTGAAGGCACACTGAACCAGCATGGCTACCACAGCATCCTGCAGCGACATGCCATCCCATCCGGTTTGCGTTTAGTTGGACGATCATTTATTTTTCAACAGGACAATGACCCCAAACACACCTCCAGGCTGTGTAAGGGCTATTTGACCAAGAAGGAGAGTGATGGAGTGCTGCGGCAGATGACCTGGCCTCCACAGTCACTGGACCTGAACCCAATCGAGATGGTTTGGGGTGAGCTGGACCGCAGAGTGAAGGCAAAGGGGCCAACAAGTGCTAAACACCTCTGGGAACTCCTTCAAGACTGTTGGAAAACCATTTCAGGTGACTACCTCTTGAAGCTCATGGAGAGAATGCCAAGAGTGTGCAAAGCAGTAATCAGAGCAAAGGGTGGCTATTTTGAAGAAACTAGAATATAAAACATGTTTTCAGTTATTTCACCTTTTTTTGTTAAGTACATAACTCCACATGTGTTCATTCATAGTTTTGATGCCTTCAGTGAGAATCTACAATGTAAATAGTCATGAAAATAAAGAAAACACATTGAATGTGAAGGTGTGTCCAAACTTTTGGCCTGTACTGTAAATGTTTTCAAAGACGTTTATGTTGAAATAAAAATACCTACAAGTAGTTATGTTTCCTTGTATTAATACATATACAAGTATGTTTCCTTGTATTAGTTTGCCCTCTTGTGGACATAATGGGGGAAAAAAATATTCGAATGGTTCGAACCTATGAGTTATTTTAGAAGGAATATTCGAACGTCATTTTTGAGCAATTTTGACAGCCCTAGAAGGGTGTAGCATGGGCTGAGGAAGAACCCATTAAATAGGTAATGGAGTGGATCTGAATCACGAGGGGAATACACAGATTATTTCACTTTCATTTACAATGCAAAATGAGGACATTTTGCCTTGGCGAAATTCCATACATCTGAAAATCCAGTTAATGGTAGTTGAAGTCCATTAAAAACAGAAATGAATGTGTTTAATGAGTTTGTAACACCACAGAGTTCAAATAAACACAAGAAATTTGTGCTCTAGATAAAGGATCAGCGCTCCGTGAATAGGGATGGGAATTGATAGGATTTTATCGATATCAATGTCATTATCGATTCTGCTTATCAGTCGGATTCTTTATCGATTCCCTTACCTCCTGTGAATTTTCTGTGTAGAAAAAGTAGACCTTACAGGTTTTTGGTGTCAACAACACAAATTTTATGGAGTTTCTATTCTAAACAAGAGATAAGTGCTTGTGTAAGTAAACAAATATGAAATTGGTCCACTGCTGTCATCTAAAATGGAACAAATGAAAGATTATTTGTACAGCATTTGTTTTCATCTACGTCAAATAACGTTACACAACGACAAATGCTTCAGCATGTTGGTGGTCGGGCTGCACGATATTGGGAAAAATTGACATTGCGATTTTTTTGCCCCCAGCAATGTATATTGCGATTTATATATTTTTTTTTAAGGATGCATTATTATTTTCCACCAGATGACTTCAGTAGCTCTACTTGGTGAGAATTAATCATTCTGGAATTATTAGGCTGATATTGCTTTGAATGCAACAGCATAAAATGTACTGAAAATAGGCATCTGTTCAGTGAAACCACCATCTCTTTCAGTGTTTCCCCTATATGCAGCGGCGCACCTCCACTGCTGAAATATACCGTGGCTGCTGATTTTATAACTATACTATAACTACCGTTACATTATTTGGCACTATGGACGCTTCATATCCAGGTCAATTCACACACTTGTGAGTAAAGCATTTAAGAGGAGAAGAGAGGGCTCCATCTTATCTCTTCATAGACTATATTATTTTGTGCGACGGACGCTTCATATAATAACATAACAATATACTATTTATCGTGATATATGGTGAAACATTTCACCTTATAACGTGATGACTTATTGTTTACACGACGGCATGTCATTTCTGTCTCTGTATCACGCACAGCGGAGTTTGGCCCCGATGCGCGCGCACACACACACACACACACACACACGTGTGCGCACACACACACAGACACAGGTGAGCACACTAGTTCTGTTTTAGGACTAGATGAAACAATCCCTAGATCAAGCTTGTAGACCTGAGGTTTGAGTGGTGACGACATATCCATCAGAGTGATTGCAAAGCTGTGGTGTTGGGGGGGGTTGGAAGCTTCATTGGGGTCATCAGGTGGGCACCCTCCTTCACTGGTGTTTCGATGATGATGGGCCCACTACACCTCCAGAGGGCTCATCGGCAACGCCTGGCATCCCAGGTGTGCCCCCCTCTGCTTTCAACCCTTCTTAGCCACTGGTGTTACTTTGGGGCCCAGGAGGTGTCTCGCCTCTTCACCCACAGCCATCGGTTTGCTTGCTCTGCTGCTCCTGAGAGGGCTTTGATGGTCTGGCGTTGGGCTTGGCCTCGAATCCCAAGGTCCCTAAGTAGCCTGATGGTTGACTTGCCCACGAAGCCTCTGCAACCGACTAGAGCGTGGCTCGGGCCACATTTTCCCAAGTCCGAGACAATTATAACCGAGCCTGGCCCGAACCTACAGCACGGCACTGTACACACAGTCTATGGAGCGGAGCCTGTGTTGCGTTCAGGCATTGTCACGTATCCTAAATAACAAATTCCAGCACTTGAATAGGCTATTTATTTTTTATTCCACTAAATTAAACATTTTTTGTTGGTCAGTCATTAAAATGGAAGCAAGTTTTACGTGCATCACTCGGCAATTTAGATGTGCATGCAAAATTCTAACTATTAGAGGCAAAATTCATGACCTTCTGTCCTCAGATAGTACCTATCTAACCTCAAACACAGTTTAAGACCTAATATATATTTAGATTGCTTCTCCCCAATTTCTCTTCAAGAATTGACCGCAGTGATTTCTTCATCTAAATCATCAACGTGTCTCTTAGACCCCATCCCAACTATCAATCAGTCAATCAATTTTATTTATAAAGCCCAATGTCACAAATCACAATTTGCCTCACCGGGCATTACAGCATACGACATCCCTCTGTCCTTTGGACCCTCACAGCGGATAAGGAAAAACTCCCCAAAAAACCCCTTTAACGGGGAAAAAAAACAGTAGAAACCTCAGGAAGAGCAACTGAGGAGGGATCCCTCTTCCAGGACGGACAGATGAGCAATAGATGTCGTACAGAACAGATCAACATAATAAATTAACAGTAAACCGTATGACACAATGAGACAGAGAGAGAGAGAGAGAGACAGAGAGACAGAGAGAGAGAGAGATGCAGGACAGACGGTAATGACAGTAGCTTACAACAACATTAATGAAAGTAAAAATATTATAATTAATAATAATATATTAATATCTGATAGTATACATGTGTGACAATAATCATATGTGTATAAT